TATTCGGAAATATCGAATGGCTCAAACTTTCAAATATCAACGACGAACAAGGTCGCGAAGCTGAGGCTTCTGCAATAAGCAGCGGACTCACTCAGATTATAAATTTTATTGTATTTCAACGATATATTGAAAAAAAACAAGAACATAATATATTGCCTTGTTGACGACAGCAGCCTTGTCTCATCATTCCATTTGGATTCCAGGACATCGGCTGCGGATGCACATCTTCACTTGCAGCAAGAGGTTGCATATCTTAATGAGGATCTAGAGGTGATTTCGAGTTGAAGTGAAAGTAACCAGGTTCATTTCAACCCCACGAAAACCCAGGCATCAGTTTCCTCCAAAACGATCAATGTCTACAAACTGGATATAATAATGTCAACACAAACAATTCCGCCTTCTGCTTCGATGAATTTGTTCGGGGTTCAAATGGACACCAATATGTCTTGGCACAATCATGTCGCTGGAATTGTCAAGGCTGCTCCTCAAAAACTTCATACCAGAAAACTGTGCACACCTCAACAACTTTTGATGCTTTAAAAAGCTCAGATCAGACCTTCTTCGTAGTATTGTTCTTATGTATTGAACTCCGCTCCTATAAGCATACCCTGAAGCTGCTAGATTCCATCCAGAAAAAAGCCATTCGGTTGATTGGAGACACGAATATCGCTTGCAGACTTGATAGTCTGGAACATCGAAGAAAAGTTGGAGACTTATCTCTCTTTCATAGATACTTTCACGGGAGGTGTTCAAGTGACTTAGCACATTTGATTCCACATCAGAAATACGCGACGGACTGTGGCTGCTTATCGTTTTCAGGTTCAACTAAGTTCACCTCACACTTCATTGTTTAAGAACTCTTTGGAAAACTGCGTTTATGTGGAATTAACTCCCTGAGAACGTTTTTCCCAATGAATTTAATCTCCAGCGATTCAAATCCAATATGAATCGCTACTTTCGCACAGGCTCCGCTCTTAGAGTGCCTTAAGGATTTTCCTGTAGGGCTTGTGTGTTGACTTGAAAAAATTCTTCTACTGTTTTACCATTTGACTGAGATCATGGAGATGTGACCCAATAACTGAGGAGTTATTGCTCTAAAGCCAAAAATACTCACCTTACATTGCGATATTTATCGAATTAACGCAGTCTAAAAATTTTTCGCTGATGCATTTTTAGCGTTTAGACCACAGTAACCCACGAGTATGCAGATGATCCGCACTTGAATTATTCCTTTCTACCCTCAGACGTTATTGTCGCTATTGAAAAAATAAATGAAGATATTTCCTCTCCCATTAATCTTTCGCAAAAACATTCATTGAAAGTGAACACTGAAAATACCACGGTCATATTGTTCCACGTACTCATAGACACTTACTCGAAAATTCCATAAGATTAAACGTAGCAAACAGTGATATAACACCTGTTGAAACAGCAAGAAACTTGGGACTGATCTTCAACGATGATTTACGATTTAAAACACATGTGAAAAATTATCGTCGTTTAGCATTCATGAATTTGAAACTTATATATGGTAATCGACATTACTTAAGCAGAAATGTGAAAGCGATACTTTGTGATTCATTGGTGCTTTCAAGGTTCAACTACTGCTCATCGGTTTATGGGCCATGTTTAGACCACGAAGACAAACGACGAATACAAATTATGCAGAACTCATGTCGAAATCACATATCTCATAAACTGAATGAACTTAAGTGGCTGAACATGCAGAACAGGCGCAAGCTTCACTCAGCCTGTATATACCATGAAGTAATTACGAATAAAAGTCCCCCTTATCTACTGCGTAAAATCTCATTCCGAGAAGATGTCCACATTAGGTACAAAGGAACTGTTACTTCACCCTCTCATCTGACATATTCAGACGGTCTTTTTCGTATCAAGTCTCACTTATCTATAATTCCATAATATGAAATGTCCGGTGGACTGGCCAGAAAAAGCAATTATGTATTTAATCTTATACCGCTTGAGGTTAATAACAGATATATCATGCACTGTAGTACATGATATCATCTTATCTCCGGCGATTTCCCAAATGTATATCTACCCTGTTACTAATTGTATTGTATGTGTGGGAAATAAAGACCTATTATTATTATTATTATAGGTACCGATTTTGATTAAAACTGAGGTGCTCACCTCCAAGGTAACTGCAAACTCACCGGAACTGATGAACTTATATGTATACATATTTGAGAAAAAATATAACTTCATTTCTATTTTTAGGTTTTCATCTGCTTGATAGTATTAGCATGTGATGGGGTCTATAAGAACGCTAACAAAATTCCTGATGCTTTCTTCAAGTTACAGAGGAACTTGAGAAAAGGAGAATTGAAAGACGAAATACTGTTCTTGGTCTACATGAGTAGTGAAGATATACCGGCTGTTTCAGCTGCTGGATTTTACCGATTCACCTTGTCACTTCTACCGGTGACATTATCTATGATAATGAGTTTTCTGTTGATTTGTATTCAGGTTAACATGTTTGTTTAAAAAAAAGTTTGTGAATGCAATTCATGTAGCTTATTGCTAAGGATGTGCTTGTGATTAGAGTACCGGTCAATTGGGGTGACATTGCCCAATTTTGAAATTTAACTCGATAACTTTCACATAACCCATTTTTTGATATCCTAGATAAAATTTGTACCTTTGGAAGGTTGTTTGTATATGTGATTTATGTAGTTATCTTATTTTTACATCATTCCCCCTCTTAAATGAAGAATAAAATATGGGTGGGCAAAGTCACCTCGTGAAGTGGGGTCACTTCGCCCAACAGAGGTTTTTTTGTATAATGAAGCTATAAATGAAAGATGGGCAAATCCACCTCGTCAGGGTGTTACAAGAGCCACAGTAAGTACAAAAATTGCTCAAAAAAATCGAAAATAACTGATACAGTTGCTATAGGACTGTCGACAGAAGTGTTATGAACGACATAAAAGTTTTTAAAATTTTTTGGGTAAAAAAAGTTGTATTTTATTCTTCATTACATTCACTAATAATAATAATAAGTGATGAAACTTACCTTGTTTTCGTAGAAGCTGTGTAGATTTCATTTTGAAGAGCTCAAATTTTTATGGATAACACACGTTACAAATAAAACAGTTAATTGGTGATAGCATTTATTTGGACGACCTACAAACTATAGAATATCTCGTTGTCATTGGAGAGGTATGTTTCATTGACTGCAGCGTCACAAATGACCTTTCAGCTATTTTTTCAAAACTGGGCGAAGCTACCCCAGAGGACACAGTCACCCCAATTGACGGTATAAAAAAATAACTATCACGTTTTTATAGAATTATCACAAACTTTGAATCCAGTCATCTTTTGGTACATATAATAATGTAATTCATTGAATCCACGTTTGCTTAGACTATAGCTGATATATAATCACTTCATCACTGTGTAGATTATGAATTTAAATTGGACGCGTGTCTGGACGCGTGGATCAATAAAATTGATCGTGCCTGGAGCAGAGTTGCCAAGTGTATTGGTTTTTAATATCCAATCACAGATTTGATGATCCAATTTGACAGACGCCATTTTTGTTGTTATTGTTGTCAACTCGGTGTGGAAACAACTGTTACAATTTGTTATTGAAGGACGTTTTTTTTGTGAAAGGTAGGTCTCGGCGGGTGCCTATTTTGCTGCATATTCCGTGTCATTAGTTTACATTACATTACATTCCGAAAAATATTTTTTTAGGTTATTTTCGGATTGAATTTTACCATTACTACCTTGGCCGAGCTGGAATAAAAATTAAGTCAAAACTTTCCATCCTTCGATAAAATACAAAGTATGAAATGAATGTCATATAAATAAAAGGGACCTACTAAATATACCACCTACCGTTTCAATTTTTCATTCTTCATTTCGATACCAATGTATTGCAAATTTTTAAAGTAAAATTCATCGATCACTTCAAAATCGATTCTTGGTAGGTTGTCGGAGTCAGCTTTAACAAAACTAGGTTCCAACATTCATGTTGAAATTATTTTGACAAAAATACAAAATTGTGTAGAAACCATTGACATTAGAAAGAGCACATTTTCGCATACACTACAGAGGGTACTGACTGACTGGATGACAATATGGCCAATATACCAGTAACGTTGAATTTCTTATTTTTGGTGGGTGGCATGAATGCATAATTGATTTATTTCATTATGGTTCATGAACATTCGAAAACCATTTGAAAATACAGCTCGTTAAATTATATTTAGAATCATATTTAGATATAACTTGTACTATATCACTTATCAAGGCAAATATTATTGTCCATTTTTATGCCTAATTCGTGGATTTGAGCGATCTTATTATTGTATATTTAATTGTGCTGATTTTAATTGTGCGGAAAGGCACAAGAAAACAGAAAGCGCATTGGTTTATAAGTGAGTTATTTCATATAATGACGTCACCACCCTACCACATTCGGGTAAACTACGATATTTAGAGAGATGAAACAAAGTGCACTATTTTTCAATTTAAAATTTTTATCAAGTGAACTATGAACTAAAAATCATGAAACAAGCCCATTACATGTAATGCGACTCCAGCGTATACAAAATAGTTGTGTCAGATATTCCTACGTTGTGTCAGATGTTTACTCGAAGTTTCTCCTACAATGCGGCAAAGTTGTATAACACCATCCCTACAGACTTAAGTTCAATGAGAAACTTTAAGAAAAGGTTGAAAGACATGTTTCTTATACGACAGAGATAGGGCACGACATATGCAAAAAGATTGTGGCTATTTTTCACATATCCGAATATTATAAAAAATAATAAGGATGCATACCAATCAAGGTTGGGTTTAAAAGCAGCTCTCAAAGCTGAACTCCGCCTATTCATCATTTCTTTGAATTTTATTTAATTTGTACTTCTTATTGTGATCAATCGTTTATCGTTTTCTTGGTGTAATAACTATATTTGTACCATTGTTATAAAGCCTGTGATTGCATTTCACCACACTACAGTAAACAGTAAAACCACTTTCGATTTCGCCACTGGCCCCGTTTCCAAACAAGAAACGCTTGCTCTCGTACAATAGCAAACACCCGAGGCAAATAAAAATACGGCGTAGGAGAAAGTACCTCCGTCTCGCTATTCGTTCTGCACACACCTAACACATCACGAGCCTTCTCAACACGTTGCGAAACATGGAGATTAACCTTTATTTATCGTTGATCTTCACCTTGATACTTGCATCCCGTGCGTACGACCCCACTGATCCAGAAGTGAGCTCGGTACTGCCTCCAAGAGGTACTTTCGAAGCCTTTTACCCTAGAGGAGAAGAGACGGGATCGTCAAGAGCTGCCCACTCTCATGGGACCTTCTACAAACATCGCAATCCTGCCCTGGTTGACGCCAAAAATTCGGCAGCGTATGGATTCAGGTTCGACGGGGGAAGAAGATTCAATTATGAATGATGATGTTAATGTGTCAATGTAGATTTGGAAATAAATAGTTGAAGAATATCGTTGTTTTTTCTTGATGGCAAATTGGCTAGAAAATAAAAGCGAAAATGTATTCATTCGTCAATAGAAGTAACATAATGAACGTTTGACAAAAATAGTGAAAGAAACACAGAATATAATTCAGTTCATTGTCTATTGGTGTCTATATAAAATAATTAAGGAAGTAGGTGACTGTGTAAATCTTCAATGTCAATTAGAATTTCTTGTTGCATTGGTGTAGCAATAATAAATTGAAACTCAATGTGGAGAAATGTAAAGTNACCATCCTGGCAAGCCATGATGAACCCCTCAGTTTCCGACTTCAGCCCACTCGACCTGAGAAAAGCGAACTTCAGGCGCTTTGATAAGCCAAGGTCTACAATGTTATTGAAGAAGACTTCATGCATTGGCTTATCCTTGTGTCTCCACAAGAGTAAGGTGATCTCTGCGGCTTTTATCTGAGCTTTTTGCTGAATGGGTTCCAACTTGGTGACAGAGTTGTGGTCACCTGGTTCAGAGTCGAAAACTATACCGAGTTTATCGGCTGCTCGGGCAGCTTCCCCAGAGAGAAATGCTCCAATTCCTGCTCTCTCATGGTCACGAACCATCATCATTATTATTATTATCATTATTATAAAGTACTTACCTACTTAAAGTACAAATGGGGGTTAGTTTTACTAGTTCTGACTTCCATTGTCTGAAATGATTTGAAATCTATGAAATAACGAATAAAATTGAAAAGAATAGCTGATATATCAATTATTTCAAGTGATAAAACGTGAAATGAAATGACAATAGAACGAATATAATATTTAAGATAAAAATTACCAGTTCTAGTACTAGTACTAGTACTAGTTTTAGCTCTGTTTTTGTATACAGATACTTTCAGAAGCACATCAAGAGCCAAAAACCTTCACAATAGAGAAGGGACTCCACAACGAATTGCCATTCTGAGACGATTCAGAGGACGGACACTAAGTGGGACAGTATCTGAATCACGAATCGAACCACCAACAATCTACCAAAAGAGAAATCATCAAGACTTCAAATCGTGCTTTCGCGCTCTGTAATACGAAGTATGATCTCGAGAAGGAACTGGGCAGCATCAAAAAAGAGTCTTCAACGGAATGGTTAGTCCAAAGTAATGGTGGAACAGACTTTGGCTAGAAGACAGCAAGAGCCTCGCAAGGAGGAGAAGCCGCCACAACAAGTGCTTGCCCATTCCTACGTCAGAGGAATGTCGGAAAGGATAAGAAGAATGAGGTCCAAGTGCAACATCAAATTCGGAAACACCATCCGTAGCAGCCTCACGAGAACCAGGCCACCAAACGCGGACTGCAATTCCAAGAATTGCATTTATCGAATACCCTATAAGTGCAGCAAATCCTATATCAGTAAAACTGAGAGGCCATTGGAAGTCCGCTTTGCCGAGCACAAGCATCAACAGAACATCACCTTTACACCTTATTCCTTCTTCTTTGACACTTTTCACTTCAATAATGAACATTTTTCTTATAAAAAACTTAATTCAAAAACGAATGCTTCTCCTGGTGACATTATTCTATTTTTAGGTTAGTTACTAGTGACTTTTCAGAAAAAAACGGTTGGTATTTGCCGGCGCCTACTATTTCAAATTCGTAATACACCACCAAAAACCAATTTACGATCTAAAGAATGAAGGTAAAAAACATTTGAATTACTTTAGGAATATGGATTGCATCAGTCGTATCAACCATGCCTGCGNTGTTATATACATTTCATGTACCCCCTTTAAGGGGCTGTGTCTTAACAAGGGATGCTCCAATGAAATTTCTTTATATGAAAGATCCTATTTTTTTTTTCGATGAGGAATCACCTTCTCAAATGTTTCACACTTATTAAAAGAGAATTGTTATTCTTGGTCAATAAAGAATATCTTGATTGATTGATTTGATTGATATTTCGATTGATTGATTTTCAGTTACACCCTGTATACAAAAAATGATGAAGTTCTGAAAAAAGAACTCACGGACAGAAACACGTTAGATTGTATTAACATATTTTATTACAATTATACAAATATATAATCGACAGGATATATATAATAAACATTGTATTTTATACTGAATACGATTTTGTAATCACATGATGGGACTCAATTGTTTGCTTTCAAAGCAACCAAACAGAATATTACACATCAAACTATACAGAGTGGATTATCAATAATGATAAAAAAAATTTTCGTAGTTGGCGTTTATTCCAAAGGAAAAGTATTTCAAGTACATTTTCAACTGTCATTTCCACTCTCTCGTTGAAGTACGATCCAAACTTCAAACGAATTGAATGATACCTCGTTTGGAAAGATTAGATGCCATGGAAGTGACAAAGGTGAAAATACGTTCAGAAGATTGCACCCACGAAATAAAAATCGATTCGAGCGTTTTTTTCTAATGATTAGCTATCAGTAGTCTGCCTTGTTTCGTTTCCATCTACCCACCCAGAATAGTATTTCTGATTGATTGCTTCTGACAAAAATAAAGTGGATTCATCCAAAATAATCGAAGTGGAATGTTGAAAAATTGAGTAAACAACTAAAATGAAAAAGTTTCAGTAATCAATTGAGTAATTTTTCTCACTATTTCTAAAGATCAGTAACACTGTTCCTACAAAAAATTTATCAAAACATTTTTTGTTGAATAGTTATTATTTGTTTGAATATGTATAAAAATTTTTAGTAGAAGTCTTTTCTCTGGAAGTCTTCAGAAACAGCTTAGATTTTGGTGCTGATTTTTTTTCAAATTTTTGTTCGTGTATTATGTTGATGTTGTTTGGTAAAAACGTTAATATTCATAAAAAAAAATAGTTGAAACAACACTGTTTCAGCTATTCACGTGACAACTATGGAACTGACAGTGGAGTTGTATTTGATGAATACAATAATGATGGAACCAAAGCGTCAGCGAGAAATCGTAAATATATGAGTTGAATGTCTCAGAACACAATCGAAATTGATATGTTCAAGAAACAAAACATATTCATTAGTCTTTAGCAAAAAACTGACCGGAAATAATAATAATTGTAGTGAGTCAGTAACTTCCATGATGTCGTTGTTGTAGCAGATAAAATTGATGTATTAGTGGCTTTGATGATTTTAGCACTTGATGCTGAAAACATTTCTTCAAAACAGTCAGTAATAATGCCTTAGAACAAGTTTATTCAACAAAATCTGTGTCAATCCTATTGCTAAAAAAACTCTTCTTTTCCATATATATTTGCTTTTTGTGATGGAAATTTTATTGAAATTTTTTTATTTTTATTGAAATTTTCAATAACAATCAAAAGATACGTACAGCAGCTGAAATTGTCATGATTGAAGAAGCATCAATAGCATTGATTTCAAAGAGCCAGAGAGAAGTTATTTAGAGATGAACTGAACTGAATATTTGACCTTGAATAATAAAATTGCAGGTAGATACTCGACAGATATTGAAGTGGATTAGTATTAGACCCATTGTCAGCGCAGGTATTCACCCAGGGATCCATATTGTCTCCAACCCTCTGTATATCAACGACTCATTAGTTTACTCAAAATCAACATGTCATAATCTGTTTTTTTATATCGAATGTTGAAAACATTACGGATTTTCCTCAAGTATTGGTCAATTCTGTCAAACATTTTTCGTTTATTTAAGAATCCGCCTCAATCAATCTTAATTATGTGGTTTTTGTACTCTCCTTTCATTGTATATCAATGACTAATTGGAAAAAATCAATAATTCAATATATTGCTTTGCTTAGACGCTTATTTATTTCACTATTCACTTCATCAAAAACAACTTTAACGTTAGTGTCATAATTATCATGTGAATATTCAACTTCTAAAGATTTGAGATGAGCCTTCACTACCCTGCCCCATCGTAGAATCCCATTACGTGTTTGTATACCTATAATCGAGTTACTTTATAGATATTCGAATCTGCGAATTATTGTCTCAGATGACAATCAGTATAGATCCCCAGGTATGTTTCAATTTCTCCAAATGTTGAAAAAATTAGGGTTTACTGTAAATGTTGACTTCAGAATTTTGGAGGAACGTAATAGTTGGATTTATTACATTCAAATAACGTGTCATAGTTTTATCTAGGTAGGCAGTGGGAAGTTTGTAATTTAACCAATTTTTTCGATCGAAAGGCCCTATCGGCTTCTTTCTCAAGGACACAATATCACTTCAGTTTTCGAAAGAGAACAATCAATCAACAAATATTACAGAGTTTTGGGACCAAGGGCGGTGCCTCGAGGAACACCGTACTCGATCACTTCCTACTTGAGGAGTATATCGTCTACTCTCACAACTTCATGAACTGATGATAAGTTGCTTTGAAAAAGATTGAGTTCTCTCTCTGAGTTAATATCTTCTACTACTTGTAGAAGTAAACGATGACTGGATCCAGACAAATCTGTAAATATACCCATGCATGTCCTGTTGTTTATACCGTTGTTAATGTTTTTATCAATTCGGGAATTGAATCTTCTTCTCATACATTGTTTCTAAGACCAATTTTTGCTTCTGAAATAATTTTTATTTGTTATTGAGTGATTTTTGAAATCATTTAGATAAGTTTGTTATCAAATCGATTTGACAATACTTGCCTACATCGCATCCCCTTTTTTGAGTACAGGTATGATGACCGAATTTTTCGATCCGATGGCTAGAAAACAATTTTCTTACATATCAGTTTTAACGTTTTTGATTTGATCTCAGCTAGCCCTACCGCTTTCTATTTCTTAATTCATGAATAAGACCTTCAACTTCTTTTACATTTATTATTGGATTCGAGAACATCGAATTTGGAATTGGCTGAATAAGTACATATTTATCAGAAACTAAAAATAATCCAACCCCGCTTCAAAGGGTTTCCAATTCCAAATGATATCGAAAAAAATCATTTAAATCAAAGGTGTTTCAGAGGACTTTCGGAGATTAGTCTTTTCAACATTTCCATTGACGTGACTAGTTAGTTTTGTATACACATAATGAGTAT